TCGGAAATTTTTGCTTAGGAAGTCTTTCAGGGAAATGTGGTATGCCGCGTTTTCTTGACGAGCAAGTGAAGACATAATTCAACTAAATTTGGTCTTGGAATAATGAATTGTAGCACTCGTAATTAGATAATAATATTGACTATTTTGTTTACCATATAGTTGATGTAGTTTTAAGATAAAAAGTATGCTCATTAATAGCATCTACCAGAAAGCACTTGCCAATCTAACTACACTTTTAAATTGCTACTTCAGTCTAATTCTGTGATCAACCGAAGCATGTTTTCGACCAGAATGACCGAGGCGCACATATACGGGCTGCGCGAAATTTACTTGTATCATGTGATTTTCCGATAGAGACCAGAGTAGTTGCTAGTTGGCATTATTTTCCATGCACGTATGGTCTACATCTTTCACTTTTCTCACTTGAACACTATGCGTTGTTTATCACCATTTCATATGAAATGTATTCACCCAATTTCGTTTAAGGTAATGAACGACTGGCAGTTGCATTTTCCCACAATCATATGAGTCGAGCTGATGATTCCATTCAATTTCACAGAGCCTTGTTTTCACAAAAGTTCTTCATCACCTTAAACGAAACTGGGTGAATACATCTCATACTACTGATCTACTGGTAGTATCGAAACTCTAATTAAATATGAAAAATAAAGTTGTTCTATATTCGCTTAATTTCGTTTAAAGTGATGAATGAACGGCAGTATAATTGTCTCACAATAATGCGACTCGAGCTGACGTTTCCATGCAATTCCACAGAGCCTTGCCTTCACAAATGTCCTTCATCACCTTAAACGAAACTGGGTGAATACATCTCATACTACTGATTTACTGATAGTTTCAAAACTACTTACATATGAAAAATAAAGTTGTTCTGTATTCACCCAATTTCGTTAAGGTGAGGAAGGACTGGTAGAACAATTTTCCCACAATCATATGAGTCGAGCTGATGATTCCATTGAATTTCACAGAACCTTGCTTTCACAAGAGTCCTTCATCACCTTAAACGAAACTGGATGAATACATCTCATACTACTGATTTACTGATAGTCTCGAAACTCTACTTAAATATGAAAAATTAAACTGTTTTATATTTACTCTGGTAGAAGAATTTTTCCACAATCATATGAGTCAAGCTGATGATTCCATGGAATTTCACAAATCGTTGCTTTCCCAAAAGTTGTTCTCAACCCGGCGGGATTTGAACCGAGCCAATGCAGAATGGGAGCTTGACACGTTAACCACTCGGCCACATTGACGCGAGCGCCCTTGGGTCAGAGGGCAAATGTGAATTTCAAGGAAAGCCAGGCCTTTTGCCATATCATATTCTTTAGTGGGATTGTCGATGAAGCAAACGTATATTTGCTATAACAATCGACTACGTTACTTATTTTTCGTATTTGAGTAGAGTTTCGAGACTACCAGTAAATCAGTAATATGAAATGTATATGATACAAACGTAAACTCTACTCATATCGTTGTGGGAAAATTCGACTACCAGTCCTTCATAACCTTAAACGAAATTGGGTGAATACATCTCGAAGCTCTACTTACATACGAAAAATGGTTAAAAACTGTAACAAAGTTTAAGGCTTAAAACGGATCTCCAATTTAAGGTGGATGCTTGGCCGGGCTCAAATCTCATGAAGACACAAACTGAAGTTAGTCGTGTTTTTTGTAGCTCGAAAATTGCCCACATTTCCTACCTCAAAGACCAGCCCCGGTAAAATGAATGTGCCGACACAAAATGTTTGATAGATTATTCATATTGTCGTGAATGACAACTAAAAGTGCGGTGGGCTAATTTGAAAGCCCCAAGTGTAGTTCATATTTGTCATATTTAAACTTAAAGTCCTGCCAAATCTCTCGGGCGATTGTTCTGCTGAAACGGCTCCTCCAGCGGCCGTTTGTTATTTCGCTCTTGCCACAACCACACTACCACTCGCCTCCTCGTTCCCACGGCTTCAGTGAGTTGGTTAAAGGAGTCGGAACATTCGTTAAATGTCTTGGCCAAATGTACCATATTCCGCTTCACAAAATGCATTCCGATTACACGAAAACTGGGCCGACTGGACAGAATCGGATTCACCGTGGCAGGAAAATGATTTAATGTAAAATCAACAAATGATTCATTTAATGGTCTACCGGTGCTTATATGCATGAGTGCTAAATCTGAAAATGGTACTATCTGGTCGTAATCGACAATATGAAAGGGGTAGGGGTACTGAG